ATTCTAGTTTAATCTATAATATATCTAAATATTTATTTATTATTTCTTAAAATTTAATTATAAAATGTATGCCAGATTCTGACAATCAGAATCTAGTCTGAATTTCCGCAGAGAGCGTTGATGCGAAACAGCAACAAAGGTCATACCTCCTAAATTAAGATGCAATCTTTCAAGTTACTTTTAGTCAAAATCCAAAATATTTATTTTGTATGTGCATATATAGATATAATATAAAGACAATTTGTCTGAGCAAACAGCACTCAAAGCCATTTTATAGGAAAAACGCTTGTCATAAATGTGATCTATTCTCTTTTGCATGCACTTGGGAAAACTACTAATGGTAGGAGGTTTTTTGTCCTTCTTATGTATTTCTGTTTAGTTTTCAGTACGCATCGCACAAATCAACTCATCCGAATAGAAATTAGCCTATTAGTTTAGCTGACTTAAAATTTACCCATCTGGCTTTCCTGAGTCGCGGAGTACGTCTTAGTTGAACTGGACCTTTTCTGAAAAGCCGAAGCCAAATAATTCAGGTCTGCAATATAGCAGGCCTGATCGGCTGCCAAATCTGCCTCTTGTTTCTCCATCAATTTTTCAACCGCATTCTCAAAACTCCAGATTTTAGTTGCATTCACATTAAACGATCCGTCATTAACTTCATAATTTTCCTCTTCCTCTTCTTCCGCCAAGGGCAGTTTTTCATCACTTCCTTTGGTCATTTGTCCAAATTGACTTCTTTGCTCCAAATCTAGATCGACGCTTTTGTCAAACCGAACTGATCCACTTGATTTACATAACCTTTGCTTTCGTGCTGAAAACATTGCAGATTCAGCGATTGGCGGCTGATCCTGATATGATAAGCGTGACAATCCAAGAGAATTTGGTGATGATTCCATCGGCTGAAATCTGGAATTTACTCTTCCAGCATAAGCGAGCAGCCTACGAACAGTGCCCGAATCTCCACGTTCTACAGCCCATAGGAACTGACGCTCCAGTGGCGTAATCTCGGGACCAATATAGCAGCTTTCAAGATGTTGCTGATCGTCCTTTAACCAATTCCTAATCGGCGATCCAAGTGTTTGTATCATATCAGTGGATTTGTATGTATTGGAATTGTTATCAAAGTAGCTAGGTTCGTCCCCTTCCGTTGCAGTATACTCCCCAGAATGCAATTCTCCAGGGAATTGAGTTGCATCTGAAAGAGTCAGCATCCCAAAGTCTAGAAAATACTAGTGTGGTTAAAATAAAATGTATAAAAGAGTTAGACTTTATTAAATAAATGGATTGGATACATATGTTACATAAAATGAATAATACGAAGAATATTGCATTTTTTAAAAGATGCTAGACCTTACATAGCTTCATCTATTCGCTTTGATATTACGGCGAAATATATTTTTTTATGAAGGTGTTGTTAGAAGGTAGTATACTGCATTATTTGATATAAAAAACTGTTTTTGATGAAATATATTATTATGAAAGTGCTAATCGTATAAAGTCTTTCCATACAGCTTCTTTACATTAGTCAATCAAATAAGATTTTAACATT